CGCCCCCCGGGCCCTCACTCACCGCTCCGCCCCCCCCGCGCGGCCCCAGCCAATGGGGGCGCGGCCCCGCGCGGCTCCGCCCAACCGCGCGCGGAAGTAGCGCCCGGCCCCACCCAGGCCCCGCGTGCGTCACGGCCGGGGCGGGGCCCGCAGGGGGCGTGGCCCGGGAAGGGGCGGGGCCTGGCGGGGCGCGGTGCCGCCTCAGGGTCCCGCAGCCCTTCCGCCATGGCGGCCACCGGCGTCCTGCCCTTCGTCCGCGGCGTCGATCTCAGCGGCAACGACTTCAAGGTGCGTGGGGGCGGGAGCGGGGGACAGCCCGGCCCCCGGGGCCCTAGTGAGCCCGGGCCTGGCGGGGYTGGCAGGCCTGACTCGGCCTCCGGGCGGGGGAATCCCGGCACCGGCCCCGCCCGGGGTGGGTAACGGGGGACAGTCCCGGTCCCGACCCCGTGGGCACTGCGGGGCCGGGCGATTCCTGACCCCCACCAAGTTGCTATGGCTGGGCAACCCGGCCTCCAGCCCAGGGGGTCCCAGAGAGACAGATGATCCCCGAGTCTCCAGCTCCCACTCCCATAGGACTGGGCAGTCCCAGCTCCCAAATTTGTAGGACTGGGAAATCCCAACCCTTCATCTCCAGATCCCACAGAACCAGGTAATCCTGCCCCCCTCCAGGTCCCAGTCGCGTGGGAATAGGGGTGATACCAGCCCCCCACTTCCCTGTTCCAGAGGATTATGTGATCCCAGCTCCCAGTCCTATGGTACTGGGCAATCCCTGTCCCACAGCTCCCAGTTCCATAAGAACTGGACAATGCCAGTTCCCAATCCCATAGAACTGGGTCTCTGCAGCCTCCAACTCCCAGGCCCCCAGGAATGATCAATCCCAATTAAGGACCGAGTGATCCCAACTCTCTCATTCCCAATCTTATGGGACTGGTTGATCCCAATCCTCACAGCTCGCAGTCTCATAGGACTGGTCAACCCCAAACCTCCCATGACCACAGAGCATCAATCAGACTGAGGTCCCCAGATCTTCATCCCGTGAGCAGGTGCTTTCCTCACCCTCCTCCTGCTCTCCAGGGTGGATAYTTCCCGGAGCATGTGAAGGCGATGACCAGCCTGCGCTGGCTGAAGCTGAACCGCACGGGGCTCTGTTACCTGCCCGAGGAGCTCGCTGCCCTCCAGAAGCTGGTGAGCTCCACGTTTTGGGAGGGAATGAGGTTCCCTGGTCCAGCTGGGGCCACGGGAGCCGATGGGAGCCTCCTCCCTGCCAGCTCCGTGGCTCAGCAGCGGATGCTCCCGTGTCTAAGAATAGCACTGAGCTACGATGTGTGGCTGAAATCAGAGGCAGGAGCTGTCAGGAGTGGGGTTGAGATGGACTTGAACTCGGTTTCACCTTGTTTTCCTTAGATCCTCTGCCCTGTAGCAGAAGGGAAGGATGATGGTTGAGAGGATCAAGGCTTTTGGGTTTTTTTTCCTTCTCCTTTGCTAAATTATATAAAGAGCAGCAGCTGGCAGCTGCCTGGCTTTATTTTTTGGGCAGCTMTTCCGGGCTGTTGGTGGAGCCGTGGCACAGCTTGGCTTTGGTGATGTCCACAGCACGGCAGGGACCTCATCCTGTCCGTGTCAGACAAACTCAGTGCTTCAACTGCTGCCAGAAGTCCCTGTCCCTGTGCCAGGTGCAGGGAATCCCTCCGTGCTGCTCACAGCCGCGCTCCCACCAGCCCTGCCAGGTGCTTGAGGGCCACAGCAACACTTCAATCCTGACATCCACCCACAGCCTGCCAGTTCCTCGTTTTCCTGAGCAGGCAGCAACCGGGGCTGGTGATGCTCAGAGGAAAACATTTCCCCAGGGAAATTCCTCCTACCCCACCAGTCTGCCCGTTTTGGGATCGCCCAGTGAGAGGCGTTTCCAAGGACTGGGAACTCTTTGTGCAGGGGTTCTGTAGGSCTACCACGGGCCAGCTCAGGGGCATCCCAGAGCACTCCAAACCCTACAGCAGGGCTGAGGTGTCCAGCCAGGACTACCCCAGGGRTTGAGAGATGTGGAGGCAGCTCAGACACGCTGGACCAACCAACCAGTTTGAGGCTGGGAGTGTCCCAGCAGCCCTGGGTGTGACAGGGCCTTGCATGTCCCCAATTCTGGGATGAAGGAGCCTCCACATCAGTRTGGGGCCCAACCATTGCCCCTCTCACTGCTCACTGGGGCTTCCCTGCAGGAACACCTCTCCGTGAGTCACAACAGCCTCACCACGCTCCATGGAGAGCTCTCTGGCCTGCCCTGCCTCCGGGTGAGTGTYCCCCTCCTGCCTCAGGTGTCCCCAGGCACCTGTGGGATCATACCTGGCCACTCTGGGGGCTCAGCAGGTGGCTGCATTCCTGCCTCTCTCCCCTTTCCAGGCGATCGTGGCTCGTGCAAACAGCCTGAAGAACTCAGGAGTCCCTGATGACATCTTCCAGCTGGATGACCTCTCAGTGCTGGTAGGTGCAGAGTCTCTTGGCTGATGTGGGAGCTGGCTTAGACCCTTGGATCCCTTTCCTGCCCCTTTTGCACCTTGGGAACACCAATCCCAAGCCCATGCCTGAGCTCCAGGGAAGCTGGCTGTTGTCAGGATGACCCTTTGGCAATGCCTCCTTTAAAGGCTGATGCTGTGGCTGGGTTCCCTGTGTGCTGGGTTCCCTGTGTGCTGGGTTCCCTGTGTGCTGGTCCAGCTCCTGCTGTGCCCTGGAGACACCCCTCGGTCCTCTGGTCTGGGTATGGGGCAGAGGGTGACACCTGCTTTGTGCTCCCATTTTCCCAGGACCTGAGCTACAACCAGCTCACRGAGTGTCCCCGGGAGCTGGAGAATGCCAAGAACATGCTGGTCCTCAACCTTGGCCACAACAGGTGGGTCCAGGCCAGGGTGATCATCACTCCCTCCTGGCCACGGCCACCTTTATCTGCCACTGCACCTCACTCTGGGTCCTGCTCTCTGCCCCTCCTCGAGGGAGGCACAGGGCTGGTGCAGGTTCCAGGGAATCCCAAATATCTCCCTACCCCTGCAGCATCGACACCATCCCCAACCAGCTCTTCATCAACCTGACCGACCTGCTGTACCTGGACCTGAGTGACAACAAGCTGGAGAGCCTCCCGCCACAGATGAGGCGCCTGGTGCACCTGCAGACCCTCATCCTCAACAACAACCCCCTCCTGCACGCACAGCTCCGGTAGGGCCCCTCTCCCCGGGCTGGCTCCCGGTGTGCCGGGGCTGGGGCTGTGCCTGCTCCTCCCTGACGCTCTCTGTGCCCCGTGGCTCTCCCTGGCCCGCAGGCAGCTGCCGGCGATGACGGCCCTGCAGACCCTGCACCTGCGCAACACCCAGCGCACGCAGAGCAATCTGCCCACCAGCCTYGAGGGCCTGGTCAACCTGGCAGGTAGGGCCGGGCACCCACCCCATGGGGCCCCCCAGGGGCTCTCCACCCCCGGTGTGGGGCTGGCTGGTGGGGTCACCCCGTTGTCTCTTCCCCCAGATGTGGACCTGTCCTGCAATGACCTCAGCCGTGTTCCCGAGTGTCTCTACACCCTGGGCAGCCTGCGGCGCCTCAACCTCAGCAGCAACCAGATCACAGAGCTGTCCCTCTGCATCGACCAGTGGACCCAGCTGGAGACCCTCAACCTGTCCCGCAACCAGCTCACCTCCTTGCCTGTATGTCTCTGCCCCTGGGTGCCATCCCTGTTCGTGTTTCCATGGTTCCCTCTCACCCCTCCATCTCCCCCTTGCCCAGTCGGCCATCTGTAARCTGACCAAGCTGAAGAAGATGTATCTGAACTCCAACAAGCTGGACTTTGATGGGATYCCCTCAGGCATCGGCAAGCTCATCAACCTCGAGGAGTTCATGGCGGCCAACAACAATCTGGAGCTCATTCCTGAGAGCCTGTGCAGGTAAGGGACACAGAGCCAGATCTGCTCTGTCCCCAAGAGTGAACACAGAGGTTGTGTGGTCACAGGTCACCCTGGGCTGGCCCATCACTGCCATCACTGTACCACAGGTGCTCCAAGCTGAGGAAGTTGGTGCTGAACAAGAACCGCCTGGTGACRCTGCCGGAGGCCATTCACTTCCTGACGGATGTGGAGGTGAGCACCCAGCTTCTCTCTGCCTTGGGCTGGCTCTACCACAGCCGCAGCGCCAGCCTGGGATCCCAGGGCTGTAGGGTGGGGTGGATGAACTGAGGGCAGCAGAGCCAATACCTGCAGTTTGGCCCAGGCAGGCTGTAGATTTGGGGCACCCTCCACATCCCCTTACCTCACAGAATCCTGGAGTGCTCCAGAGCTCTCCATCCCATGCCACATCCTCGATTTCCCTGTGAACGTGCACTTCACCAAGCTCTCTGTGCCCTCCTTGGCAGATCCTGGATGTGCGCGAGAACCCCAACCTGGTGATGCCCCCGAAGCCGGCGGATCGCTCCTCGGAGTGGTACAACATYGACTTCTCCCTGCAGAACCAGCTCCGCCTGGCCGGAGCCTCCCCCGCCACCGTCGCTGCCGCCGCTGCAGGTACATGTGTGGGGATGGGGACACAGCCCCTGCCTGGGCACGGCCCTGGGAGGGGCTGGCAAACAAGCAGTACCCCATGGGGAGCCCCACAGGTGGCGTGGCTGCCTCTCACCCTGTCCCCGTGTCCCCAGGGAGCAGCACCAAGGACCCGCTGGCCCGCAAGATGCGGCTCCGGCGGCGCAAGGACTCTGCCCAGGATGACCAGGCCAAGCAGGTKCTGAAGGGGATGTCAGATGTGGCCCAGGAGAAGAATAAGAAGATAGAGGTAGAGTGTGGGGTG